AACAAAAATTTTAATGTATAGAATGCATATCACCCGCCACCACTCATACCAGAGTTTTAAACTAAGATCACTTTATGATGAATCGACTCTCAAACTCTCAGCTATGACCACATCAGACTTTAGCTAAATATCTGTAAAACTGATGGAGTTATAGCCGATTGTGTGTTGGCTAACGTTGATTAGCTGTGGCAGCCATCTTGAATTAGCTGTAGAAGTTTCATCATGCTTTTCTGAGAGTTTTATTAACATCTGTTCAGTGGTTCATGAGATATTTTGCCAAAAGACACAAACATTAGTCTGCCTTTAAATTGTGAGAAATAATGAAGTCCAAAATGATTTTATCAACATTAAACTGATGGCATGCTCTGTCAACTGATTTTACAGCCAGAAAACAACACGCTGGGGGTTACAAAGCTACCAAACAAACCACAGCTAAACTCAAGGTAAACATTTGGAAGTTTACTTTGGTTAAATCATCAGAGTAGAAGATGAAACATTTGAGGTAAATAAAAAAGGGGGGGTATTCGTACGTGAGTATCAAAGCCGTTGTGTCGCAGCAGAGCCACAAAGTTGATGATCTCATTGACGTGTTTGTCGCTGTCTGCTGCATATGTGACAAAGACCCTCCCTGCAGCAAAACACAAAGACATAAAACACTCAGACAAGAGTGCAGCGGCTCCATGTGCTGCTCTGTGTGTGTGTGTCTGTGTTCAACACTTACGTTGCTCCACAGAGAGAGGCGTGCTGTACCTCAGGTGTCTATCTTTGACCGGAGCGTTGGGACCACTGCAAACACATCGACAGGACTTCAATCCCAGAACATTTAATAAAGTTAGATCTAGTCCAGAGATGGTCAACTGGTGGCCCGCAGACCACATCCAGCTTGCAGGTGACTTTTGTCTGGCCCAATAAGGCCAATTTCACCACTTTATTAAACAAGAGTACAACTGTTTTACATCAGGGTTCACGCAGGTTTCAGTAAGTTAAATTTAAGAACATTAGGAATGACATTTAAGACCAAACCAACGCGTTAACATAAACATTCAAATGGTCCCAGAAATGTTAACATAGAAACCTTTTCAATTTAGCTATTAAAGAATATTTAATTTTAATACAAGAACACTAAATTATTTTATTGAAACAGTCAAATCTATGAGAGCTTCATATCGATCGCTTCCAACAGAGTGCAAAAATCACTGATATCAAGTCAAGTGTCACTGAAAACACATTTTCCCATGTTTAAACCACAAGCAGTGGACATGACTGAACTCCTTTGTTTTTTGGGCAGGTGAACAAGCAACAAGGTAAACAAGGTATGTGTGTGTGGGGTGGGGGGTGGGGGGGTTGTAGTGGCAAAGATGTTGAAAACATGGRAGTAAACGGTGCCATTTTTTGCCTGCAGTTATCACAGGATYTGTAGTTTAACACGTACAAAGACCGGTAGAAAACGTAGCTCTTCATGAACACAGATCGCATCAACCTCTGATTACTGTGCTTTACTTTATTTATGCAGCCAATGATTCTCAGGAATGATCAAAAGTAAAAAAATAAATAAATAAAAATAAGACTTGAAATTTTTTAATTTAAGACCTTGGATGAAAATCTGGGTGTTTAAGACATTTTTAAGCCTAAAATTTAGATTTTCAAATTTTAGACTTTTTTTAGACTTGAACTAGGCATGAAATGTGTTGAGTTACTGCACTGTAGGTTAGTTTAATAAATATACACACAAACACTTTTAAAAAGGAAGGTTTATTACATTTGGGTAAGTGCAGAGCACTGTGTGGCCCTGTGGTGGTGTCAACAAACCATTGCGGCCCCTTTCATCATTTAAGTTGCCCATCCCTGATCTAAACTGTCTAAAACTCATATTGAGAAGAAAAAAAAACTCACAACTCTGGGAATCCAGCTGCAGGAAGTCCACAGTCTCCTGGATCTAAAAGAAGTGAAGAGCTAAAATAGGAGTATCTGCACCAGAGCAGCTGGTTTGTGGAAAGCGGTGAGCAGACTTACAGTAGGGGCCGAAGGATGGACCGTACTGAGTCCAGGTGTGCTTGTGGGCCACGAGCCTCCTGCTGAACGCCTCAGCAGGACACTGAGCGCAACACGCAGGACCCTGACCAGGACTGGAGTACGGAGACAGGGTGTGGTGGTACAGCTCGGCCGAGGGCGGGTTGGAGTGCAGGGACAGCGGCTGTTCCAGGCTCATCACGTTGGTGGCGTGCTGGCTGGGGAGGGACAGGGACTTGTACCTGGACAGGCAGACCTCCTCGGAGAAGGCGGGGTTGTTCTTGTGGGTCAGGCAGGACGGCAGGCTGGTGGGATACCCCGACCAGCTGCTGTTCATGCTCTGGTGGAGCCAGCTGGCCTGGCTGGGGAATGGAGTGGGCTGGCTGTATCCGGGCAGCAGGCTGTGTGGGGGCCGCGACGAGCAGAAGCTGGAGCTGTTCGGAGCTGGCGGGCCCTCCTGGCCTCCGTCCCACCTGTGACTGCTGCACGCGGAGCTGTCGGAGACCGTGCTGCGCTCGGAGAGGTGGGGGCAGCCCCCCAGCTTGTGGACCAGGCTGGCTTGTCGCTCCTCTGAGCTCATGGTCTCATCGTCCTCCTCGGGGCCGCTGCAGCGCGTGCTCWGCAGGCTGACGTAACTGGGAGCAAAAACACCCAGTTAACAGAAACAAACCTGTCGTTTGTTACTTCTCTTGTCTGGAACAACATTACAGAAACAAGTTGAGCTGAAATCACCTATTCGGAGCAGAGAGCGAGCAGACGGAGGTGGGCAACATCACTGGGCTTTCTTCTCCTGACATCCATGTGTGTCTGCTTTAACTTTAACCTGCACTTCAGCTTCTGCCGAGGAGAAAAGTAATAAAACATCTGGTCAGAAGAAACAACGAGCTGCAGCAGCTGAGCTACAAAGAGATTTAAACAGGTCGCTGAGGTGAAACTACGTCTAACCTGAGAAATAAATCCATGCTTCTTTCACTGTGATGGAAAATATTTACATTTATTGAACTGTTTTCAGATGTTTTAACAGATCTGTCATAAACAATCGGTCAGTTTGATGTTCAGTCAGGCTGCCTGACAGTCTCCATTTAAAAGCCCTCTGTGCTGCATGGAACCAGTTCATCCCTGCGACTTTCTGTTCAATGTTTTTTTTTAAATAATAAACAGCTTTCTGGTCTGTCAGTCACAATCAAAAAGAAAAAAAATTGTGTTGGTCTTCTGGATGGGAGTCTGAAACTCTCAGACTGAAGAAGTCTCTTGGAGGAGAGACGAAACGTTTCATTAAAGAAGAACCCGTCCAGAAGACCTATACAATTTTTTTCTTTTTGATTTTTTACCTGGATTACTGAGATGCATCAGGACATTCTGTCACAATATTTACCTCTGACCCAGACTCCAGTGCTTTGGTTTGGAAAAACGCTCTGCGTCGCACACATAACGTTCAGATAGTTTACCTGATGGTTTTTCTGAGATAAACCTGGACTTAAACAAATTGAACAAATCAGATAACGCTTTCTTTTACAGTCCCCTAATTACCATGCAATTGCCTAGCATTTAAATGGAGAGTAATATCATTTCACTATGCAATTACTTGGTAATTACAGTAACAATTTTATTACCATGTAATTGCTTGGTGAGAACATGTTGAAAATACTGTGTAGTTAAACTAATTTTAGTGGCTAATTCTATTACAATTACAGTTCAATAGTATCTCAATTACCCAAAATTAGCCAAAAAAAATTGACAACTTTTTTTGTACAGTCTCCTAATTACCATGTTATTGTAAAGTGTATATTTAGAAAATTACAATGTAAATAAACTTATTTTGTGATCTTAATAGTACATACTGTACAGGTGCTGGTCATAAAATTAGAATATCATGAAAAAGTAGATTTATTTCAGTAATTCCATTTAAAAAGTGAAACTTGTATATTA